GATAGATAGATAGATAGATAGATAGATAGATAGATAGATAGATAGATGGATAGGATGTTCAGTAATGAATATTTATTCTTCTTTTCTGATCTTAATCAGGTCGACTTTCCCTGGAGAACGTCTCAGAGAGGAAAGAAAAGATGAGGCTGGGAATGACGCTGACCTCCAACCCCAAAGACAGCAGCTTTGTGGTGAACCGCTTTCATAAATATGACATTTATGCTAGATCTGTGTGTTTTTTTCACTGTTTATAATCATCACTTTAGTAATTGTTCGAAAATGAAGGATTTTTGAAAGCAAAGAATGATATTAATGAAGTTAACAAACAGTAAAAAGGTGCATTTGAAATGGAGGAATTAGGAAAAAGGATAATAATCCAGCAACTTTCCAAATGCACCAATTAACCCTTTAAAGTCTGATCCAAGAATAAAACAAAACAGAAAATTACTTTTTTTTTGGTGGTTTGAATTCCTTATTTGACCTTTTAACAAAATATGTAAACACATTTGGCATTACAGGGTTAAGTACCACATTATGTGTATTTTATTCTTTTAGAAGCAACATAAGGGATTAAAATATACCTGTTAGCATTAAACAAAAAGCTTTACACACATTTGAAAAAAAACTTTTTATGTTTTTTAACAAGGAAATAAAAAACATAGGCAACACTACTTATTAACAGTCGTTCACTTGAAGTGTAAACGAAAATCTTATATACGATATATAGATAATATATAGATAATTAAATGGATTTAAAAAAGAAAGAAGTATCTTTTGGAGTATTTCATTCACCCCTTTGTGTCAGATGAAGAACATACATAGTCATAAAAATGTCCTGACTCATAAAGAACTGCAGGTGTTGAGCACGTTTAGCAAACGGATGCACGGCCGTTACCGCGGCAACGGCTGTCAGGCAGCCTGGTTTTTATGGTCATAATCCAGCATATACATCTGGATGTCGTAACTCCCCGAGAATGTGTTTCCCAGACTCCTCTCTTCCTGGTTCTGTTGCTTATTAGCCGGTACTCTGCATCAGCAAATCCTCATCCCTAAAAACAAAAGAATCTAACAGACTCTGAATTTAGCAGGAAGCTTCTATTATTAGAAAGTCTCCACTGGTTCTAAAATACTGATTTTCTGATTTATGCCAAACTAATCAAAGGGGTCAGAGCCTTGATTCCTCTTACAAATATTCAACAATATACATATCTAGTTTCCAAAAATGAAAAAGTATTGTCAAAGCTCTTTCACAACACATGAAAACTCCCGCATTCACACTGATTTAAACACAAGTAGATTAAATGGATTTGGAATAGACTCAGAAACTGAGTAAACAAGTTGTGTTTGCAAATGTATTTACACTTAAATAGAGACATTAAGATAGGAAAAGCTGTAATTTCCCACCTGTCATGAGGGTGGATCTTGGAGGAGGACTCAGTCACGGAGATTCGTGAAAAAGGTTTATTTTAACAAAGACGCACTCAAAAGGGTGGATGACAGGACAAGACTAAAAAACAAGGCTGTGGCAAAACTATGAACAAAGTATCAAATCAAGATTAAACATGACTATGAACACAAAGTATCAAATAAAGTAAACAAGGCTATGGAAAAGTAACAAATAAAGATTAGCAAAACTGTGGCATGGCTGTGGCAAAACATGGCTATGACAATAAAACGTGGCTATGGAAAAGTACAAACAAGATTAACATGGCTGTGGCAAAAACAAAGGCTATGGCAATAACGTAAATAAGACCATGGCATGGCTGTGACAAAAATCAAACCTGACGCGGCGAGGGGAGACGAGAACAGAAAGACGAAAACGCACTGGCACAGGACATGGGAAACAGGACTATTTAAACACATGAGGGGGGGGAACCCCAGGTGAACACAATAGGTAATCAAGACATGACAACACACCAGAAACTCCCCCAGACGTGACAGAGCCCCCCCCTTAAGGGACGGCTCCCAGACGGCCCTAAACACACATGAGGACCACGGGAGGGTGGGGGGGATCAGGAACAGAGGGAACAAATGCACTCGCACAAGACATGGGAAACGAGGACTATTTAAACACGAGGGGGGGGAACCCCAGGTGAACACAATAGGTAATCAAGACATGACAACACACCAGAAATTCCCCCAGACCTGACACCACCAGCCAATGCAACATGTTTTAATGAGTGTTTTTGTGTGTTGTGTGTATGTAATATAGGAGTTTGGCTGATAGATTGACCAGTGATGTGGTTTTGCTCTATGTGGTTTGTCCTGATAAATATGGAGTTCACATTTTACAGAAAAACACAAGTGTTGCTCCTCCTTTTCCCTCTTTTAATTCAGTGGATGCTGGTTTCCTGACTTGGTTGTCTCTGTGTCCTCAGACCTGTGGGCCTCTGTGGTCTCATGAATGCGGGAGTTCTCTTTATAGCACGGGAATCTGTGCTAAATCCAGCAGGAACTTCAGACTGACCAGCACCATAGCACCAGCCCACCAGAGTAAGCTCCTATCCTAACCCTAACCCGTACTATCCTAACCCTAACCCGCCCTAACCCGTACCTCTACCCCCCACAGCTCCTATCCTAACCCTAACCCGTACCTCTACCCCCCACAGCTCCTATCCTAACCCTAACCCGTACCTCTACCCCCCACCCGTCCCTAGGGATGGGGATCGAAACCCGGTTCTATCAAGGACCCGGTTCCACTTTTTTCAAAACCCGAAAATCAACACCGTTTGGGCTTATCGATACCACTATAGAGTCTGGTGGTTTTCTTTATTATTACAATAGTAATTGTGAAACCCGTGTTGTAATGGGCAGCATACAAGCTAGTTAGCTTAAAAAGTCAATAAAGTTTCAGACGTGCTGCGTGATGATGTGTTCAGGTTGGCTCAGTAAAACCACA